CAGCTTTTTTTTTATTGTGTTATGTTAATCACCATACATTACATCATTAGTTTTCGATGTAGTGTTCCATGATTCATTGTTTGTGTATAACACCCAGTGCTCCATTCAATACATGCCCTCTTTAATACCCATCACCAGGCTAACCCATCCCCCCACCCCTTCCCCCTCTAGAACCCTCAGTTTGTTTCTCAGAGTCCATAGTCTCTCATGGTTTGTCTCCCCCTCCAATTCCCCCCCTTCATTTTTCCCTTCCTACTACCTTCTTCTTTTTTTTAACATATAATGTATTATTTGTTTCAGAGGTACAGGTCTGTGATTCAATAGTCTTACACAATTCACAGCGCTCACCATAGCACATACTCTCCCCAATGTCTATAACCCAGCCACCCATGCCTCCCACCCCCCACCACTCCAGCACACTCTGGAAAACAGTATGGAGGTTCCTCAAAAAGTTGAAAATAAAGCTACCATACGACCCAGCAACTGCACTACTGGGTATTTACCCCAAAGATTCAAACGTAGGGATCTGAAGGGGTACATGCACCCTGATGTTTATAGCAGCAATGTCCACAATAGCCAAACTATGGAAAGAGCCAAGATGTCCATCGACAGATGAATGGATAAAGAAGATGTGGTGTATATATATACTATGGAATATTATGCAGCCATCAAAAAGAATGAAATCTTACCATTTGCAATGACGTGGATGGAACTGGAGGGTATTATGCTGAGCAAAATAAGTCAATCAGAGAAAGACATGTATCATATGATCTCACTGATATGAGGAATTCTTAATCTCAGGAACTACTAGTAGTTTGATGTCGCTGCCTTCTTAGGTTCATGCGAAGGCACCACAGTTTTATTTATCATTCCTTTTGCACCATCAGTGCACATGTCAACATACTTATTCCAGGATAAACCACTGAATTCAGAAAGATTATTCAACGTTTTGCATATTTCACTTGCATTCTTGCTAATCATTCACAGACAAGGAGATCTTCTTTCAATAGTTGGTGCTGATACTATTCGACAAATCCAAGCAAAACTGCATGACCAACAATGTCTGTAGATGTGAGCATTTGTAAGGCAAAAGTACAACTCTGCAGATGTGTTACTGAGTCTTCATGTTTGCAGCTACATCTTGAATTCAACAAGTTATTTTATTATTGGAAAGTGTTACAATTTTGTTTACTGATTCTTCAACCAGTGCAAGTTATTGCAAACAGGACATTGAGGTCTTAGACTTCAGGATATGTATTCATTGATGTCAACTTATTAGTTTCTAGGCTTTTGTGTGCATTTCTCTAGCCAACACAATATGATAACCTACTCTATATGATACTTCACTGACTTTTTCATTTGGAGTTTGAAAAGCTGTAACAAAGAGTTTTGTTTTGTTTTTTTTTTTTGGCTTTAAAGAGCTCATCACATACACGTTCAAAATGTATATGTATTTCTTTTTCTTTAAACTCTGAACAATTGGTCTTAAGATGCCTCAACTTAACTGGCACCCATAATACTGTTTTAAAAATGTGCAGTTCACCATTGCTCTTTCTTTCTGAGATTTACATCTGAGTATTGTCCTCTGCCTCCTTTGTATCCTCTACCTGGTGACAACTACTTTGGGCACATTGCCACGCATCTTGTGGTTTGGGGTTTTAGTTCTTTCCTGATTTATTGAAAATAGTATTTGGGTTTTTGTCACTTGTTTTTTGTGTTGTTTTGGGATGATTTCCAGGAGAAGAGGACATGCCAATACTATATGGACACCTTTGCTGGAAGTCACCACAAAAATATTTTACTGTATTATAACATAAACATGGAAAATCACACAAATCATGAAAATACAGTTTCATTCAATATCATAAAGGAAATGCCCATATAACCATCATGGGTCAAAACTAGAACAAATATACATCATACCCCCTTCTGCTGCCTACCAACCCCCTCTTTTTCCCAGCTTTATTGAGATATAATTGACATAAAACAATGTGTAAGTGTAAGGTGTACAATGTAATGATTTATGTATGTATACATTGCAGAATAATTAACCACAGTAAGGTTAGTCAACACATCCTAATTAATGTCCCTGCTTTCTGATTTCTAACACCTGGATTAGTTTTGTCAGCTTTTGATTTTTGTGTAAGTGAAATTACATAGTCTATATTCTTTTGTATCTGTCTTCTTTTGTTCAACACTATGTTTGTGTAGTTCATTCTTTGATGGATATAATAACAATTTCTTATCCATTCTATTGTTGATAAATATTTGGGGGTTATCGGGAATGATGCTTCTATGAATACACTTGTATATGACATTTTTGTGTACAGATGTACACATTTTTATGTATATACCAAGGAATAGAATTGCTGGGTCATAGGTATATATATTTTCAACTTAGAAGTTCTCCAAAGGGGTTTGAATTTAAATTTTACCTTGATGACTAAAAAGGTAGGATACTGTTATATATAGTATTGGCTTTTGTTTAGTCTTTTTTGGGAACTCCTTATTCAAGAATCATGCCCAGTTTTCTTGGGAGTTTTCTGTATTTTTCTTAGAAATATGGAGAGATTCTTTCAATATTCTGGATATGACCATTTTATAGAGTATATGTGTTGCAAATATCTTTTACCCCCGTTCTGCTAGTGGTACTTTTGATTATACAAAGTTCATAATTTTAATGTTGTCCAATTTATAAATCTTTTCTTTTATGGTTTATGCTTTTTGTGTTAAGTTTTAGAAATCTTTTTCAATGCAAAAGTCATAAAGATACCCTCTTATCTTTACCATCTTTTTTTTTTTTTTTTACTTTTCACATTTAGATCTACAATTCACCTAGAATCTATTCTTGTATATGGTGTGAGGCTGAAGTCAAGATTAATTTTTTCCATATGATATACAATTAACCCAGAACCATGTATTAAAAAGACCAACCTTCTTCACAACATTGCAGTGTCACATCTGTTATAAATCAAGTGCCCAAATATGTGGAGTGAGAGAGAAAGGGAGAGGGAAAGGCAGAAAGAGAGCAAAAGAGAGAGAGAATCAATATGTTCTTATATTTATCTCATCAGGGAAATAAATATAAGAATATTTTGCAAGACCACAAGGAGAGATGAGTGTTCACACTGAAAAGGCCTACTACATAACAAGCAGAATGAACGAAAAAGACCTAGGCCCAGATGCAGCATGAAATTTTTAGTCACCACAAATAACGAGGAGTTCATTAAAAACATTATAGAGTAGGGAAGATGGTCAAACACAGGAATGAGTATTTGACCAGCATCCAGCTTCTCCCCAGCAATGATGGATACTAGAAAGCAGTAGAATAAGGCTTTTAAAGTTTTAAGGAAAAATGAGTTTCAACCAAAATCATACATTTAGCTGAACAATCAGTCAAGCATGAGATCCTTGTAAGGACTCCACTGGTTTTCTTTTAGTGAACTTTTAAATTTTTATTTATTTTTTATTTTTTTATTTTTAAGATTTTATTTATTTGACAGAGAGAGACACAGTGAGAGAGGGAACACAAGCAGGGGGAGTGGGAGAGGGAGAAGCAGGCTTCCCGCGGAGCAGGGAGCCTGATGTGGGGCTCGATCCCAGGACTCTGGGATCATGACCTGAGCTGAAGGCAGACACTTAATGACTGAGCCACCCAGGCGCCCCTTGAGAACTTTTTAAAGTAAGTTACTAGCAAATGTACCTCAGCACACAAAGGTTACAAAGAAAAAAGTATGTAAGATAGGAAAAAAAAAAAAAGAGAAGGAAGGAAGGAAAGGAGGAAGAAAATGGGATTAGGGAGAGGTTTGCACAGTATTCTAAAAGTACTGGGAATATTCTGTTTGCTAAACTGGTTGGTAAGAGCATGGGGATTCATCTTATTATTCAAGAAAACATACATAGACCATTAACCATAAAAGATTCTATTCATCTTCTTTTCCTTCCCAGAGGCAGCCATTATCCTAATAAAATACTCTATATTTGTGTATGTGTGTGTGTGTGTGTGCACACATAAATAATACAAAATATTACACTGGATTTTTTTCAAATTTATACAAATGGTAGTATATTCTATGTATCATCAGGAATCTGCTTGTAACTTGGTATATGTTGTCATGATCTATCCAGGATCTTACCATGCTCATTTTAAAGATAAGAAAATTAAAACCCAAGAAGTCAAAAGCCCAGAGAGACCTACGGTGCAGAGAGGTTCAAGGTCACACATCTGTGAGAAGTACATCTGGGATTGAACTGACACTACACTGTATACTTTCTGCGTTATAGATCTAATTAATTCATTTTGCATGCCATCCAATGAATAGACTTCTGTTTATTTTTCTAAGTTTCCATTTTTTTTTTGATATTACAACAATGGTGTCATGAATGGCTTCCACAAGAATCCTTGTACACATATACCACTTATATGAGTATCTGCATTTTTAATTGTATGAAATCCTGCCAAATTGCTTTCCAAAGAAGTTGCTCTCACAAGTAGTTTATGAAGATACCAGTTTCCTCACATTATTATCACTATTATTTTCAGATCTTATTATCTATCAATTACTAAGGGATGGGAAATGGTATTTCATTTTAATCTGTATTTTTCTGATTTTTAGTGGCACTAAAATTTTGGCTATTTGGGTCTCCTTTTCTATGAGTTGACTGTTGAAATTCTTGGCCCACTTTTCTGATGGACTCTGAATTTTTCTTTATTGATTGGTGCAAGGTGTTGTACATATTCAAGAAAAACCATTCATATGTGTTCTAAATATTTTTTCTCAGTCAGTGGTTTGTCTTTTAACTTTGTGTTTGGTGTCTTTTGTGATACAAAACTGTTTTTTTTTTTTTTTTTTTAATCAAATGTAGTCCCATGTGTCAGTCTTTCCTTTATGGGTTGTGCTTTTTTTTTTTTTTTTTCCTCGTGGTTATTTTTCAAGGAAAGCATATTTGTCTTACAAACTTTTTTTCACTTACTGTTACTATTATTTTTTTACTTTTAGATAACTACCAAGTGGTCTTCCCCACTGGCGACACATGCTCGTATCAAACTGACGGAATGTGTGGCAACACAGATGCTAGAAAAAAACCTCAGACTAAAGTGGATATTACGTGGATTCTTCTATTGCGCTACTATATTCATCTGCAAAGGATTAATAATATGAGCAAACTGCTAGGTAGGATTTTGATGTGTTAAGAAAAACACATTCTTTTCCAGTTCTTGTTAAGTCATGTTTTTTATTTGGAATTTTAAAATACTATCGATATCTTTTGGAGTGAACTCTCATCAGAATATGAAAATTGTAGGGGCTCTTAACCTGAGATACACAGATCTTTGGGTGGAATAGTATTTCAACAAGTCTGACTTCCTCTGACATTATATATATTTTATTTCACGTATTTAAAAATGTTATTGTAAGGATGCATCCAGAGGCTTCCCAAGTCTGCCAAAGTGGCCCATGGCTCAAAACAGTTAAGAATCAGAGTGATCACAATGTGACAGCTTATAAATTGAACAGGATGAAATTTTGACTTTAAGGAGAGGATGTTCCAGTATTCAGTATGTAAGAGGACAAATACATGACTTCAGATAAGATATGTAACTCCATTGAGTTGTTTTGTTTTGTTTAGTTTTTGTTGTATCATCAATGCCGTCTTAAGAACATCCAGAAAAACTGGTATAATCTGCTTCGTGTTAGTCCCCCTTGTGTTTGTGACAATGTATGTTGTATTTTATCTGTGCCCATGAAATTGGTGATTTTGTGTTGTTCATCAGTGCAAATAGTCGGAAAAGACAGTTTGACCCATGTCAGGGCCCAGTGATGGAGAAGCTAGCAGGGCAAATAGGCTGAGTGACTAAGCAGGGTTATCAGGAGTTATCGTGGGATAGACAAACATTCAGAGAGGTGTCAGGTATAAAAGGTACATTATGAGAAGGGCAAGAATGAAAGAAGTTCAATAGCAAAGGATGCGAACATGAGCCAGTACGGCATACTCTGGCAGTGCCTGCCCCATATCAACTCAGCTCACCTTTGAATTCACCTGCTGGCACCTGCCATGTCACATGCCCACATTTTACTGCTTTTCTGCCCTGGGCTCCGCCTGAAGCTACTGAGACTTGCTCAGCCCTGTCAGGACAGCCCAAAGTGCCAGGGATTCCCACACATACTTATGAGGTAGGAAACTGGTAGAAAACATTCCAGCTTCCCGGTCCCAGACAGTTCTACATGTTATTTTTCAGAAGGTCCTCAGCAGGACTGAGCCCTGATTGTCCAGAGCTACAGCCCATCCATTAACTCACTCTATTGGCTCTTCTCTCCATCACACTTTGTTCTTTCTCTCACTTATGCTCCTTGAGATCACTTTTCAAATAAATGACCTGCACCTAAGTTCTTGCTTTAAGATCTTTGTCGGGGTAAGTCCCAAATAAGATGACTACATAGAATATTTTGCATTGTCAAGAATTAGAACCTAAAGCAATATCCTCACACTCTTCTGAAATTTTCTTCATTCCTGTGGCAAGAAGCAGTTGCATTAGTGAATAAGCTTAAGAAGAGAGGAATTACACTGGCAGCCACTAGCTGAGGTGTGTGATTTACAGGGAGAGCAGCTAATGAGCAAATACCAACAATACTGAGACTGTTCTGTCATCTAACATGACTCTAAAGTAACATATTTTTCTTCCCTAAGCATCTCCAAAGCCAGGATCTGGAATTTCATTGCCAGATGATACACTTCTCACGTCCCTTTTCAACTCTGGGCTGATTTTGCGCCAAAAAGAAATGCATTTTTTCCTTAAAAGATTTTTACAGCTGTATTCTTCCTCTTGTATTGATGAATTTCCAAAAGAACTCTGTAAAGGATTGGAAAATACACTTTTTTCGGAAAAAATCTCATCTGATTCAGTCAAGGTACTGTTTTCAAACATTATATATTTTTGTAAAACTTCTTAGAATCATTGTTATATTTCTGAAGGAAGCACATTTGAGAAAACTCAAGTGGACGTGGTGTATTGTAAATTTCTAATATGTATTTATAAAATGAATAAATCAAGTCATTTGCATTGAGTTCTTTCCAAACAAAAAACCATATCAGTCATTTATTTTGAATTATCTTGACTTTGGACTTCACCATATATTGCTTTCATTTTTTTTATATAGACTTGCCCATACCAGACATGTCCATATTTCTAAGCCCAGAGAAGTGACCTGAAAATGTGACTTCTTCCAAATTGAGAACCTTTGCTTATCTTATCCTTCTAGATTGTTGGATAGATAATAATATTTTCTTTTTTTTTAAATCACTCTTTTGAACAAAAAAGTGAGGTGACTAGTAATAAATTGTGATTTTAAAAAGTAGTGGGAATACCTACTAAGAGATAATTTAATAATTCATTTATTTTTATTTATTTATTTGACAGAGAGAGACACAGCAAGAGAGGGAACACAAGCAGGGGGAATGGGAGAGGGAGAAGCAGACTCCCCACAGAGCAGGGAGCCCGACGCAGGGCTCGATCCCAGGACCCTGGGATAATGACCTGAGCTGAAGGCAGATGCTTAACAAATGAGCCATCCAGGCGCCCCTAAGAATTCATTTAAAGAAGTGATTCTCAGGGAGAGTTAGGGAGTTGCTCTCAGGGCAGTGTATTAGAATCCACATGGGAGGATTTTTTGAGTTAGTTCCCAGATATTGGGATATTGGTATGCCTAATACTTAACACCCCTATTTCTTGCCCAGATTATAAATCATTTGAGAAATAAAAGAGTTGAAGAATTTGGGATTAAAAAAATACCCACCCGTATGAGTCATAATGTTGACATTGCAGGATATGGTTTATATTTACTGGCAAATGGTCTTCCTAAGAGCAAATAGCAAAGTAGACAGATTTTTCCAGTTCAGCTGTGTTTGTTTTTGTTTGGTTGGTTTGGTCGTTACAGGCCCCCTTAAAATCTGTGGGGACACAGACCCCTTTAAAATCTGTCTCATGGGGACGCCTGGGTGGCTCAGTCCTTAAGCATCTGCCTTCATCTCAGGTCATGATCCCAGGGTCCTGGGATTGAGCCCCGTATCGGGCTCCCTGCACAGCAGGAAGCCTGCATCTCCCTCTGTCTGCTGCTCCCCCTGCATGTGTGCTCTCAATCTCTCTCTCTCTCTGACAAATGAATAAAATCTTTAAAAAAAAATTAAAAAAAATACACTCTGTCTCATGAAGGAGCAGAGAATATTCACTCTCTACAAACCATTCTCTCCCAAGAAGAAAGAGCATAATTATGCATATCCAACATTTCTTTTTTCCCAAATTCACCAATCAAGTAGTTCTCCAGGGGAGGGAAGGGAGAGGAGGCAGAAAGGTCAGGAATGTACTATAAATGTCTGGCCCTCTGCTGGGAAGGAAGCAGCAGGAGTGGGATGAAATCATTTCCATCTAACACCAGATCCCGATTCACCCCTCTAGAAACCGTGACTCCCTTTGAGGATTACTGCCAGGTGTCCCAGATGCCTCAGGTATTCTGGCACAAGAGGCAGAGAATGAGAAGGTGGAGAACTATAGTTTTGTGAATGTATTCTTGTGACGATTTTGTATGAGTTTGGAAACTAATAGGTGTGATTTCTTAATATTCCGAAAGGAGCTCTGGTTGAGTATTTTAGTATTAAGGGCAGCCTACTAAGCATGATGCTCCGAACGTAGAACCTTGAATACGTTGTAAATATATGCAACACTTCTAATGGTAGCAGTGTTATCAGAGATCGTTGTACCCTGTTTGCTCTTTTTTTTTCTTTAATATAATTAGTGTAACACTTTCCCAGAATAATCGGCTCTGGAGATCACTGTTGCTCGTCTGACAGGTGCAAGCCACCTAATCATGTGTTCATTTCACTGGGGTAGACAGCTAACGAGCATAGAGCCTTTTGGATTTTTAAAAAAATAAACTGCAAGCTTGGCTGATTTTTATAATAACGTTTTTGAGCTTTTAATCACTCAGGAGGCTATTTCAATCAAACTCTTTCCATAAATTGATACTTAATCCTGCTTTTCCTCCACAAAGAGGTAGATGTCTTTCCAGAGCGATCATTGCTAGGTGCCAGGCTCATCAGTGTGTGCGTCTGCATATCGTTAGGTCTATTGAAGCTCTGTGATGGAAAAACAAAGGTGCCAAACAAATTACATTAAAAATTCCAAGAAAAAAGGATATGATTAAAATTATGCACAATGCTGGGTTATTCATGTTTAGACTTGTCGTAAGGTCGAATATTTGACTAGTGTAAAGTGACTTGTCGTTTATAGGACTGTGGCAAGCAAGACTTCTCCTGGTAGGTCTGTTGTTTCATTCCTTTCAAAGAATAAATCAAAAATATCGAAAATATTCAGTGTATGGTCCATCAATTAGCATATATGCTTAATTCCACTAGCAACTAGATTTTATGTTTTTTTAAAGATAATGGAAAATTAAATGCCTATTTTGATATTGACTTTTGTTACAATTTACCATTATTAGACCATGTTAATAAATGCTATATATATTAAAATAGTAAATATTTGCTTATTATTTTTCTCTGCTTAGTTATTAAATATGAATTCTTGCTAAAATAGTTGCCAGAACCTCTGAAAGGCACTCAGATATGAAGAAAATTAAATTCCAAAATTATTTTTGGAATCAATTATTTACCTGAATTTTTGGTGAATTGCCTGGCATAGAATCAATCTTAGTTTAGCACTTTTAAATGATTATTTAAACCTAATAGTCTTGTTTATTGTTTATTTTGGTCATGTTTTTAGTATCATAGTGCTAATAAATGAGGATTCTGGCTTAAAATATCCTTTTATGATGATAGTCTCTAGACATTTTTGAAAAGTTTTATCTTTAATATTACCTTTCAGTCATGACATATTTTTTTCTCTTATCAGTAGACAACTTGAAAGGTCAGTGTCTTTATTTCTCTTTTTATTTTATTTTGAAGACTCTCATTGACAGTCTTATATTGTATCTTGAACAAGCTCAGAAATAATGGGACAAAGCCCATACAGAAACACCAGGCATTTCTTACTGGCCACTTACATGTTCCCCTTCATCATCAAGCCTTAAGATACCTTAGATGTCAAAAGTTCAACAGAAGAATTGCTTCCCAGCTACCATATTATAATCTTGGGAATAACAAGTTAATTTTGAAAATACTTTGCACTCCATTAAAGAAAGTCCTTTTCAGATTTGAGGTATTATTATCACTATTATTATCTCTCTGTCTAGACTGTTATTTTTTTATAGCAACCATGCTTTGCTTTCTGAGCTACTTTTAAAAAAAACTGAATAATTTGCGAAATTGCCAGTTGCATTCCACACATTCATGTTTCCTCGAAACTCCTGATTCAGGGACCTGGTTCCATCAAAGCTAGGCCCAGATTCACCAAGACTGAATTAACAAATCAGCCACATTCATGTAAAGAGGGAATGAGAGCGATTGATTTTAATATTTTACAGCAAAAACTGTCTTAATTTGCATATGACACAGAAAAAAACTGCTGTTGGAAGGTAGATGTTATTTATAATCATACCCTCAGTTTATTCACCACTGAATAAATAAGAAAAAAAAGAGATATTCTTAGAATCTGAGGCGATCTTGAGACTGAAATGATAATATTGACATTTTTCCTCTCTAGATCTTTACTCTGGGAAAGTCACCAAAGTGGAAGACATTTGTTGAGTCCCATGGTTTTTTTTTTTTTTTAAAGATTTATTTATTTAGAGAGAGAAAGCCTGAGCAGAAGAGGGAAAGAGAGAGAGAGACAATCTCAAGCAGACTTTGCACTGATCTCAGAGCCTGACGCAGGGCTTGATCTCACGACTCTGAGATTATGACCTGAGTTGAAACCGAGTTAGACACCTAACCAACTGCACCACCCAGGCACCCTGAGTCCTGTGGGTTTTGAAGCGTATTTTTCTGTAGTAAAATCTTCTCTGGTAATTGGGGACAGTTTTAAAAGTGACACTCATAAAACAAACTAAGACAATTCCCAGAGTTTTATAATGTAGCCAATACTGAATGGATATTGAGTGAATGTTTTAAATATTGCATGAATTTATTACCAGCAATTAAACTGTTTTTGATTTTTCCCTAGTTATGTCATGACAGTTCTCTACACTCTGATTTATCATTAAATAAGCTCTCTGCCAGCCCATCTTCTGGAGATGTGTCATCAGTTATGAAGATACAAGATTTAAACAAAGAACTTTGCTTTCAGTGGTACATTCCTCCTCTAGAAAGACCTCCAAAGGACACAGAACCTATGGTATGTAATATAATCACAAAGCTAAATCTTATATTTAGATGTAAAGTTTAACTCGACCATTATAACTTGAAAATAGAGAACAACCCCTTGTCATATAGATGAAAATATACAGCAATATAGAATCTATATTGTCTAGTAGAATGAGTCTGAAAATAACTAAGAAATCAGGTAAAGTCTGACTTGAGTTGATCATTTTTCCTTTTTCCTGATCTTCAAGGGAAACTTTCCAGTGTGTCACCATAATATAGGATGTTTAACTTTTTTTTGCAGCCATTCCTTATCACATTAAGGAAGTTTTTTTCTACTGTCTACTTTGCTAAGAATTTTTATCAAAATCTTTTGCTGTGTCTTTAAGATTATTTTATAATTTTAAAAAATATAGTAATTGATTTTTTAAATATTAATCAGTCTTCTGTTCCTGAGATAAACTCAAATTGATCATATATTAATTTTATTGGATTCAGTTTATTAAGGTTTTGTATTGGATTTTTGCCACTATTTAAGGGTAATATTGAGTTACAAATTTTCATTTTCATACTGTCTTTGTCAGATATATTTTGTATAAAGATTTTGTTAGATTTATAAAGTGAGTTGGTAAATATAACCATGTTTTTCTATTTTCTGGTGACATTTCTGTAAGTTTAGAGTAAACTTTTCCTCTCAAATATTTGGTAAGAATTCATCAGGAAAGCCGTCTGACCCTAGTGTTTTCTTTGTGAAAAAATTGAAAATTAGTAATATAGTTCTCAATAGTTTGAGGCAGTCATTAAGCACTAGTACTCATTTACTAGATGCCAGAGTTGGTATTAGTTCTGATTGGGTCAGTATCTGTTCTAATGGTTAGTACCCATGTCAAACCAAGTTTTAAATATTTTGACTATCACCCCTATTTATAGAACATTGGAGTTTACTGTTTCTTCTTGAGTCAGGTTTGTTTAAGTTGCTTTATCTAGGAATTTTTTCATTTTATTTAAAACTTCTCTCATACTTTTAATCTCTCCATTGTATTTGTATTGAAGTGTCCCTTTTCATTTCTTACATTGGTTGTTTGTGTATTTTTTCTTGATCATTGTCACCAGAGGTTTTTCATCAGTTTTATTTCACTAATCCATATATCTTTCTTCTACTTTGTTTTTGTTTTGTTTTGTATTCTTTTCCTTACTCCTGACTTCTTGAGATAGATGTTTGGCTTAATATTCAGTCCTTTCTTTCCTAATGTATGCATTTGAAGACTATGAGTTTCATTAAACATTGCTTTGGTTTCATCCCACAAGTTTTTATTATAGTATTATCATTATCATTCAGTTAAAAATAATTTAAAAATTTTTGTTACAATTTATTCTTTGACTCATGGGCCATTTCAACATGTGTTTTTTACATTCCAAACTACATAGAACTTATATATATTTTATATATTGTATTAGAAAAATATATTGTATTATATATTGTATTATAATTTGTTTTTTATTCTTAGATTATGTTGTTCTGTGATAATAAAAAAAATGCTCTGTATGATTGATATTGTTGAAACCTGCATATTTTCTCCAGGAAAGGATTTATTGTGTAAATATTCCATTGCTCTTAAAAGAAATGTGCAGTCCTCAGTTGCTAAGGCAGTATTCATATATATACCCAATAGGTCAGTTTGGTTAGTCTTGTTCAAATCTCTATTCTTGTTTGTTTGCCTTTAATTTTTTAAAATCAGTTATTAAAAGAAGTATATTTAAATCTATCACAGTGATTGTCATTGTTTAGTCTATCAAATTTTGCTTTACATAATTTGAGACTGTGTTCTTAGGTGCAATCAAATTAACTGTTGTATCTTCTTGGTGAACTGAGCATTTTATCATTTTGAAATGACTCATGGCCTTTTTGTAATAATGTTTTTTTCCTCATAAAGTCTGCTTTGTTTGATATTACTAGAGGAAAATGACTTTCTTGTGGTTATTTTCACAGTGAAACCTTTTGCTTTCAACTCTTTTGTGTACGTGTGTTTTATGTTTTTATCAAAGGCATGCATTTGAATATTTTCAAATATAGTCTGATAACATTGTATTTTGACTGGGGAATTTAATACATTTACATTTAATGTAAATGCTAATATATTTGGTTTTAAATCTATCATGTTATTTTGTGTTTTTATTTGTCTGAGCTCTTCTGTGTTTCTCTTTTCCCTTCTTTTGGATTATTTTTATCATTTTCCTCTATGAGTTTTGAAATTATACACTTTTTTCAGTGCTTTTAGTGGTTACCTGCAGGACAGCATACATACTTATCAACATCTAAAGTTAATAAATATCTTTTTCACTCTAATGACTTTTATATTACTGTACATTTTCTTTTTTAACCCAAAATAATATTATTTTTAATTGCTTTATACAAGAGTTATTTCCTTTAGAATTTTCTCTGTATTTACTACTTTTTTTTTTTTTTTTACTTCATCTTGCATTTTAGACATTTTATCTAGGAACACTTCTTTCTGTTGAAGTATATACTTTGGAATTTCTTTTGGTGAGGATCGTCTAGAGGCAAACTCTCAATTTTTGTTTGCCTGACAAATGTCATTATTTTACATTAATTTATGAAATACATTTTTATGGAGTAGGTAATTTAAGATTGGAAATTATTTTATTTCAGTACATTGAAAATGTCATCTCCTTACTTCCATTGTTGTTGTTGAGAGACAAACTTTTATTGCTTTAAAGTATTGAATTTTTTCACTAACTGCTTTTGAATTTTCTCTTTGACTTTGCAGAATTTTATTGGGAATGGTTTACTTTTTATTTACTTTGCTTATATTAGTGTAGTGGTTAAGAACACAGACTCTGGAGCCAAATTACCTGGGTTGGAATCCCAGCTCTGTCACTTAATAATTTTGTGATCTTCAGTAGATTGGTTAACTTTTCTGTATCATAGGTATCCTTTTCTGTAACTAGAGATAATTGGGTAAATGCCTAACCTCAATAAATAGTAGTTGTCATTTATTATTATCTGAAACTATTTTAAAATTATTATGCTGTCTTAAAGGTTAACAACTTCAAATATACATGTAATATACTTGTTAAACATTATTTAAAAGCTTCTTTTAAAATTTAGCAACAATATCTTCTTATAGATACTTTAGCTGCCAACATTGTATAGAAAAGAGAGTAAACTGTGCCTTACAGCAAAATTAAAGTACATAGCATATAGGGAAAAAAACCTTAGTTTGCCTTTAAGTGCCCTTCATAAATTTATATCACACATATCACTCCTTGTTTTAATGTTCATTATTTTTATTTTTATCTAACTCTGCATCTTTATCTTTATCCACATCTATGTCCATATGCATGGAAAGACATTTGCACTAGGGCTCACTGGGGAGCAGGTGGAGATGGGGGCAAGTATTTAGAATCAGTTTAATATCAATCCCTGAACAATTGGAGAAAGAACAGTGATTCACATTCTAGGAGAATCTTGATGAGAGGTCAAGCTTTTAAAAATGGAACAGTTGGTCACTACAGCCATTTGCAGAGGGACCTTCCACCATAGCATTCCTTTGATTGCTGCTCTCTCTAAGAAGAGCCTCAGGCTTTTCCCCATTAAGCAGTTGCCGTATAGTTTTGCCCTGTTCAGCATTTTCATTTGCTTTTTGCCTCCTGCATTGGTCTATTCTTGCATTTTCCAGCTCTTGATGCTGTCTCCTCTAGCTGTGCCTCTGGTAGCTTCTGCTGCTCCTTGACCCATGTGACCCTGTCAGATCGTGAAACCTCCTGGGCCTACCTCTCTTTGCTCTTGAACACACTTCTCCCATTGGCCTCTTCATTCTGCTTCCTTAGGCTAGCAACCTGCTGCTAACTCTTGGTCATTATATCTCTTTCTACTCATACAAAAAAAAGGAACTTTAACATATCACTCCCAGGAACGTTTAAAGCTATTTCTCACGTTATGAGAGTATTCTCTTTCCCATACTTTACATGTCAAATCCTTGCCAGATATTCCATATACTTTTAAAAATAATAAATCTGCATAGTCTCTTTTGGGGAATTTAGTAATGTAGTTTTCAATTTCTGGATCCAAGAATACTAATGGACCATGGAATCAATATTGTGTGGGTCTTGAGTCGTATTTTTTTTTTAAATAAATTAAGAGAAAAAACGTTTTCTGAAATTTGTTTCATGATGTTGTTAAAAACAAAATTTCTCAGATTGACTGATCTTCAGCATATGTCAGAATTTATTTACTTGCTGGCAAGAGAAATAACCAAGTGATTAAAGAGTATATTCATTCAGGGAGGGTATGGATGCAGAAGGATTACATATTTGGGAAATAGAATGTTTACCTAAGGAGCTAATTTTAAAAAATGAGGAAGATAGTATAAAGTTCATTTTGCAAGCTCATAGAAATATCACATCCATATCAGTCTGAGACAGAGTGATCTGAGAAGTTAATGCTATGATTCTATCTGTGGCTGATAATTAGAGTAACAGGGTTTTATCCATCAACAATTGTGTCTGATAATGAACATGGAAGCATGAACTGGTGTGAGGCAGAGATTAGAAGGAGAATACCAGCTAACTAATTCTGATTTAAACAGGTTGCTAGAGTGGTTTTCTTCTGCCACAAGCAAAGACACAAGAACACACAGTTTTCCCATTTCTTAGTTTGGGGGCATTTTCCCCCTTTTTGGTAATAAATATTGGGTCATGATGAAAAATGTAGTTGCTCACATAAATTTCAGTCAAAAAATTGGGAAACACTGACTTGGATAGACTAGATCTCCTCAGACCTAAGATTCTATCTTTTCAGAAGATAACACTGAAATTTGTTTGATGATTTAAATATTGGTGTATTTGAACATTTATCTACTCATTATCTTAGTGTAGAGTTTCATGTTGAATAACTGGCTAAAGTTCATGAAACTACAAGATAATAGCAATAGTGAATGTAGAGCTTAGTATATTCTAGACTCTTTGCTTATATTAACTTCACAACAACTCTATGAGGTGGGTACTATCATC